GGAAGAGTTTCACCAGGGGTTCTGCAATGACTCCAGCCAGCTCCTTCAGCACTCACGGATGAAGATCATCTGGTCGTGCTGACTTGTATATGTCTAATTTCTCAAACCTCAGCTGATTCATGGGAATTGATGGAGTGCATACACTTAACCACTAAAGAACTGTAATGAAGCGGGAGTACCAAGGTACTTAGATGAAAGTGATCTTTCATCTATTGAGAGGTAAGAGCCTTCACTTCACTATCACAGTACAGCTGGCACACAGTGATTCCATATCTCCTTATTACCTCAGGGTAACTAGTGGCCATGTACATACCCACAGTACATTTCTTTCCAGTTCTTGCATAACTTTATGAGGAAATCCATTCAGATTTATTATTGGCAAGCTTTTCATAGAAGCTCAGCAACTCAACATTGCTCAGAGACAAAGAGTCTAGTTGAGGCCTGCTTCATGGGGTGCAGACAGAAGTGACAATTTAACCTAATCTGGCCACAGAAAGCAGTTTATAGTTGTGACCAAACACAAGTACACTGCTGCAGACAGTTTAAAAAGTAGTCAATCAGATGAAAAGTTGCAGGAAGGGAGGTTTAAATTGGATATTAGGAAAAACTTTCTCACTAGAAGGGTGGTGAAGCACTGGAACAGGTTACCCAGAGAGGTGGTGGGATCTCCATCCTTGGAGGTTTTTAGGACCTGGCTTGATAAAGTCTTGGGTGGAATGATCTAGTTGGGGATGGTCCTGCTTTGAGCAGGGTGTTGGGCTAGATGACCTCCTGAGGTCCCGTCCAACCCTAGTTTTCTATGGGTCTATGAAAATCCAACCCCCTCATTGCATGAGGTATCCCATAAAGATGTTTCAGAATGTAGCATCTTTTGTAACTTGTGTCTGCAGAGCTTCCAGCCTGTCCCTGTTTTCAAAACGGAAGGGGGGAAAGGGAGCAGAGGGAGTTCAGTCTGGGGGGTTTTCAGCCCCCCCCTGGAGTGTGGAACAGGTGTGGGGGGGGGGGGGGGCTCCAATTCACCCACCCTACCCTTCAGCACCAGCTCCGAAGCCCCAAGAATGAGCTCCCTCTGCTGCCTTTCTCTCCTCCCACGCTGAAAACAGAGCGCCCTGGCCATTGCTGTGGGAACCTGGCTGCAGGATCCCAGCTGCAGCTAGATTCGTCTGCTCCTGCAACCAAGAGTGAACTTCAGCTTTGTCTGGGGTAATGTTGTGACTCAGGACGCTTTGCAGAATGAGCACCCAACATAACAAAATATTTCAAATACACAAACAGTGTCCTGTGTGTCAAGTGGACTTGTGCAACTTCCCTGAAACATCAGTACTACTGTTGTAAGGCAGCAGTGACAGCATTGGTTTTGTCTGTCAAAACCTGAGCTCAGTCTAATGTAGCTGTGATCTTCTGTATGATCCCTCCATTTGCAAAACGGCTGGCTCAGTGCCCCTCATCTCCCTCTCTCCTGGGTTTCGGAGGAGGTGCTGACTGCCCTGCGCTATGTGCCTCTGAGAGGTGATAACCCCGTACAAGCTGGGGGAGGGGGGGGCCTATCTCGTGTACGACCACTGTTGTTTTCAACCATTTTTTCCTGTTGTAGATATGCCCAACCTTATTTTCATGAAGTGATAGTTTGGGGGAGCTGAAGCCAGGGTGGGTGAGGTTTTTTGCCATCAGGCTCTAACAGTGCTGGCCTTCTGTTTTCAGTTTCCGGTGGAAGAAAAGATCAGCCGGTGATAATTCTTGCTTCGCTGGTGCTGTTTTGTAATTTAAGTAGTTTGTTTAAATGACAAGACAGCACCAGTAGTAAATGGATCAGTCTGGTTGTGTGGCTTCTTGGAGTGGGCATTTTCTTATTTTAGTCCTTTTACTAGTTCCTTGGATTGGGCACAACCGAGAGTAGCAATGATGGCTGCTTACAGACATGAAAGAACAAAACAGCACTCTACTTTCAGCACAGCGCATGCCCAGAAGAGGCACTGCATTCGTTTGACCTGGCTCACCCAACATCTGTACAGATCATGTACTTTAGTGGGGCTTTTTGGTGCTTTTATCTAATAGCTAACTGTATCAGCTATTAGATAAAAGCGCCAAAAAGCACTGCTGAAGTGCCCAATCTACACAGATGCTGGGGAGCCAGGTCAAAGTAACACAATTCCCCTTCCAGTAAAGCACTGTTTTGGGTTTTTTTTCACATCTGTCAGTGGCCAATACGTGTGTTTCAATGCAAACTGCTTAAACATCTCTATTAAACTGCAGGCAATTGTCAGTCGTTACTGCTTCAGGTATACCTGCTTGAGTGAAAAAGGATTTGATGCACACAATCATCTATTTAGCCATAGTACTTTCTAGTAAGGCTGTCCAAGGGGTGTGAGGATAATCACAGTTACAAAGTCTTTTCCTCTAGTCAGCTTAAACAACCTATGCCTACTTCGCTCTAGGGGTTCACTTTTTCCTGTGTCCCTGTGAGGGCCTTTAGATAGGGGGTAAAAAGGGCAGTTTCCCTAGGCCACAACTGGAGGCTGTTGAATCGCCCCTGTCTCATACAGGGTACGCCCCTTGTAGTAGAGCGTTGCCGCAAGATTTGCCCACTCTCTACAAAAGCCCACCTGTCTTCTGGCCCCCACCATGGACTCTTTTGCTTGACTTGATCTGTGTTTTAAGAATATACAATAAGCCTCATTGTCGTCGTTTCTTCAAAGCCAATATAAGTTATTTCTAGTCCTAATTTTTAAATGACTTTTTACCATGTATTTCTGTTATACTTGTGGAATCACTATCCTCGCGCCCCAGGGTGGGTACTCGAGGGATGGGGTGGGGTGTGTGGGGCTGCGTCCGCCTTAGGTTGTACATCACACGACTTGTCAACGCGGCTCCTGGCTGTGACTGGCAAGGGCTGGGCGGGTGAGCGGTGGCAGCACTAACCCCGTGGACTCTGAAGCTGAGCTGAGAGGGTGGTAAGCTGAAAGAGCTCACTTCACACACACTTCACAGTCGAGGGGTGCACCCCGCAGCTCTGCCCCTGGCTCCGTCCTTGTTGATACCTTAAATAAATTCCCACCTGGAGTAAGAGCTCTCTCTTCAAATGATAGCATATCCCCTTGACCTCGGTTCATCTCAACCAACTTCCTTAATTGCTTTCTGCAGAATCTCATCCTCAGCAGTAGCTCTGGTAATGACAGTCCACATATATATGTTGAGGCTGGATTTGTAATCGAATGAATAAATCATTCAGTAGATTAAATTACATACATTTAGCTTCAACCATGCTTTAAACATATGTTGCAACCATCAGATTACTTCCAGGTTTGTGTTCGTGTTTCAGGTCACATATACATAGTTGAAAAGAATCTATATGCTCTGAAAATGTTTGCCAGGCCCCTTTTAGGCAATGGCAATATGTTTATAACAATTTTAGCTAATACTTCTCATAAACAGTCATGAAATGTTTTATACCCCTATATTAAGATTAAAGCCACCTTCTTTGAATGTACTGGCATTTAGCTTTTGTTAATAGCCAGGATGTATTGTCTCTGTTGTAGTAAGAAGACTCTGCCAATACCCTCCTATGTGGGGTCCATGAACAACTTGGTTTTTTACACTTACTGGCATAATACCTTAGGGCTGGGGCCTTCTTTAATTAAGAGTGTCTTAAATTCTTAAGATTTTCATTTGGCACTTTTGTATAATAGTACTCTTAGATATTCTGGCAGCTAGAGAAGGCTAGCACAAATTTCCC